CTGAATAATTTTTATTATTCTTTGTATTTTTTTTTTTTTCGCAATAAAAATTACGTATATAGATCAATTTTTTTTTTCTGAAATTACCACCCAGCGAAAGCAAAAAATTCCTTCCCAAAAAATTAGGTTTAAAAAACAATGATTTCTTGGTTTCAATTGTAATTACAATGTATTGCTTTGCAATTCAATTCGATTTCAATGCAACCTGTTTTATAAATCAAAACATTTGCCGTACGACACAATTTTTGCTGAATACGGTGAAAACATTGATCGTGCAAACGGAGACAATCGGCGAGAAAACTGCACGGAAGTCGCACGACTTGCGAGTTTTGGAGGGAGATCGTGACACGGCAAATGTTAAATCTTTATTTTGTATTAATTATGTAATATTTGAACTTGACACATTTTTAAATTTCATGTTCATTTTTTTCTTTTTTTTATATTGATATCAATGAAAAACTTTGATTAGTTAATTATCTAAATCAAAAAAAAATTTTTTTTAACATGTCCGAGACACCAAATAAAAAAATGGGCCAGTCTTTTCACAAAAAAAAAATGGTTGTCTGTGCTGATAATGATGACTTGTTTGAAGGTCCAGAAAATGAAAATTCATTTTATACATTAATTGATGATAGTGAAAGTGAAACATCAGCCAACAGCAATTATTTGGAAGAAATAAAGATATTAAATTTGTTATTACAAGATAATAGTAATCATTATATTATTATATCTTTATGCATAAAAGATCAAAAAAGTGGCTTCTCATTTTTTGATTATGATGAATGTGAAGATAAGATTTTAATAATCAAGATGCAAATAGTGAATCGAGTTTATATTTAGAAATTCCAAAAATATAAATTAAATATAAACGCGAAAAGCAACTTTTCCAAAGTTATCAAACTTATTATGAAAATATCTAGGAATACCATCATCATCTGTTCTTGCTGGCGTGTCTTTTTTTAACTGCAGGAAATTTAATCACAAATAAAAGGAATCATTTAAATCCATCAACAGTTAAAATGTAATTTTCTTGAAAGAAAATTTACAAAAACTTCAAATATACCAAAAGGAATTGTAAATAAATTCAACTTTTTTTAATATTTATAAATGAAGCTCTTTATGATATTTTTTTCATTGTTAAAAGTGGGAATGCTATCTTTTGGGAGTTCAAACTTTACAGTAAATGTCAAATTTTAAACTGTTAGACATAGTGATGTTAGCCGGCTAATAATCTGCATGCATAATTTCTAAATTTGGTGATAGATTTCTGCGTTACTTTCTTGTTATAGAAATAAAATTACCAAATTAGGTAGTAAACGGCTTAGCCGGCTAAGGATTTTTAAACGGCTAACATCACAGACATTTTTTGAAGCATGAATTAAGTCGCAATTGCTATAAATTGATTTTTGATCAACCTTGATTATATTACATTATGGCGAGTTCAGGTTAACTTTTCATTCACTTCCTCTTTCTTATACAGTCCCGGCGAAAAGAATGGCGGTGGGAATGCTGCCTTCTTTTTGCTGTAGCTTCACCATTTTTCCAATTTGATTATAATTTACATTACCAAATCAAGCAATGAAGTGTTATTTTTTAAAAAAATGTAAAAAATGATGTTTAAAATTGTTTAAACTTTATTTTTACATTTCAAAATGGCACCAACCCTCTTGAAGTACAACGAAACTCTGTTAAGTCACTCTGGCAACAAAACATTCGCAATCCGAAAGAAATTTCTCAACGATTGGGTATTCCTCTATGCTCCTGTGAGCGGTACGTCAGTTTATTGCGTAAAATTGGCAAAATTCCTGTAGGTCGCTCTTCTGGTCGTCCAAGAAAATTGACCTCCGAAAAACGCCGCCATATCGGAAAAATTCTGAAACACAATCATTTCACTACGGCAAGTGAATTTAAAGCTAAATTGGAAGAAAATGATCTTGAACTTGGGATCAGTGAACGCACTATACGTCATGAGCTTAAAAACCTCGGTTCCATTTCTGTTCTTTCAAGAAAGGTTCCTCTTTTAACCTAACAAGCGAAAGATAATCGCTTGACTTGGGCACGTAAACATTCATGATACAACTGGCGTAAGGTTGTTTTTCTGATGAAAAAACGATCCAGACGTTTCGCAATACCTTTCGTTCATGGTATTGCAATGCAAAACCAGTTGCACCTATGGTAAAGCATCCATATAAAGTTCATGTTTGGGCAGCGATCAGCGCCAAGGGAAAAATTGAAATGCATTTACTTGCTGAAAACCTGGATCGCCATTTATATCGAAAAATTCTAAATGAACATTAATATGATAATGCGGATGTGTTGCATGATCATAACTGGGTTTTCCAACAGGATAATGACCCGAAACACACTTCACAGGATGTTCGAAGTGACTCGGAAAACCGTCTTCTGAATCTAGTTCTCCCTTGGCCTTCATACAGCTCAGACATGAATCCCATCGAAAATGTATGGGCTGTTTTGAAGAAAAAGGTAGAAAGAAAGGTTAAGGATATGATGGCAAAAAAGAAAAAAAATCTCGCAAGAGAATTTTTCTTGGTATAATTAGGCAGGAATGGGATGATCTTGATAATTATGTGTTACTTCGATGCATCAATAGCATGCGAGACCGGATTAAAGCATGTATCGATGCAAAAGGAGGCCACACAGAATATTAATTTAATAAGAAAAAATGTAACGTTGGTGTTTGTCTAAAAAAAAAATTTTTGGTTAAAAATAAATCATATGCGTAATCTCAAAAAATCTGTCCACCATTCTTTTCGCCGGGGACTTTACCTAGAAAGCTTTGGTGGATCTGTTGCAATAAATGACTCTGAATTATTAATATAGAATTATCCAATTTGATTAAATAAATTCGTTATTTTGTTCCATTAAAATGAAAAGGCTAGGTCACATTTCCAACATATGATTGGACGGCGCTTCAATAAATCCATTCTGCGTACTTCAACGTTTGCCAATTTCTGATAATCAAACGTTGCATATTTGAATTGTTTCTTTTTAAATGGTGTATTACCTTGACATCTTGTAATTATAATAATATAATAATATTATTAATATTATTAATGATTACCAAACATTCGTTGTTGATAAGGATCTTATAATTACCCAACAAGATTTGTTCCGCGTTTTGATTCAATTAAAATATTTATAAAACAGGTTGCAATTGCAATTGAAATTGAGTTGCGTTGAATTGAATTGCAAAGCAATGCGTTGCAATTGCAATTGAAACCGAAAAATCTTTGTTT